GTTGGGTTGGAACTGAAAACTCGCCGCTCTTGCGATGCGCGTTTAAGGAATCCCGATTTAACGGCTGCAGAAATGGAGTTGTCACCGCGGATTGGAGAATCTTATGACCTGGAGAAAGTGGATGGAGGAAAGCTCTCCTCCCTCCTCTTATAACGCACGAAATCGCGGACATTCGGTGAATGTCGGAGGATTCAGGGCGCGTAGGAGAAAGTCTTTCTTCAAGCAACACAGAGTTAAACTGTGGAACTCTCTGCCACTGGAGACAACGGTGGCTTTAAAAGAGGATGACTTTAAAAGAGGATCAGACAGATTCATGGAGGAGGAGAGGGCTATGGAAGGCTGCTAACCAGGATGGCTTGGCTCTGCCTCCACAGTGGGAGGCGGCGATGCTTCTGAATCCCAGTTGGTGGAAAATTCAGGAGGGGTCAGAGAGGGGGGGCTTTTGCGCTCGGATCCTGCTTGCAATGTCCTGAATAGGATGCTGATCTAGATGGGCCGTTGGCCTTGATCCAGCAGGCTCTTCTCATGTTCTCATCATCATCATCATCATCAGTGTAAACCGGAGTCACTCCGGATTCGCGTTACCCAGCGCGTGATTGCGTCACCCAGACGCCGGGCACTGGGGCAGGCCAAGCAAAAGGCTTGACTTGCGGGTCTACTTCTCCCGACCACCCGCTGATCGAGCGCTATTTGCGGCCGCTTGGCCTTCAGAATCGCGAAGCAGATGCCACAGAAGCCTGGGCTGATGTCTCGGGGCTCAGGAGACCCCTGCTATTTCGCTTTCCCCAACAACGTCTCGATTTTTGGTACTTTCTCCCCAGGGAGGCGTGGAAGTGGAAGGCGTCGTCCTTCTCCTTTTAGGTTTGGACTGTGCAAAAGCCTTTGAGTGTGTCGACCACAGCAAACTACGGCAAGTTCTTAAAGAAATGGGAGTGCCTGATCACCTCATCTGTCTCCTGAGAAATCTCTATGTGGGACAAGAAGCTATAGTTAGAACTGGATATGGAACAACTGATTGGTTCAAAATTGGGAAAGGAGTACGGCAAGGCTGCATATTGTCTCCCTGCTTATTTAACTTATATGCAGAATTCATCATGCGAAAGGCTGGGCTGGATGAATCCCAAGCCGGAATTAAGATTGCCAGAAGAAATATCAGATATGCAGATGACACAACCTTGATGGCAGAAAGTGAGGAGGAATTAAAGAACCTTTTAATGAGGGTGAAAGAGGAGAGCGCAAAATATGGTCTGAAGCTCAACATCAAAAAAATGAAGATCATGGCCACTGGTCCCATCACCTCCTGGCAAATAGAAGGGGAAGAAATGGAGGCAGTGAGAGATTTTACTTTCTTGGGCTCCATGATCACTGCAGATGGTGACAGCAGCCACGAAATTAAAAGACGCCTGCTTCTTGGGAGAAAGGCAATGACAAGCCTAGACAGCATCTTAAAAAGCAGAGACATCACCTTGCCAACAAAGGTCCGTATAGTTAAAGCCTGGTTTTCCCAGTAGTGATGTATGGAAGTGAGAGCTGGACCATAAAGAAGGCCTATCACCAAAGAATGGATGCTTTTGAATTCTGGTGCTGGAGGAGACTCTTGAGAGTCCCATGGACTGCAAGAAGATCAAACGCATCCATTCTGAAGGAAATCAGCCCTGAGTGCTCACTGGAAGGACAGATCATGAAGCTGAGGCTCCAAGACTTTGGCCACCTCATGAGAAGAGAAGACTCCCTGGAAAAGACCCTGATGTTGGGAAAGATGGAGGGCACAAGGAGAAGGGGACGACAGAGGACAAGATGGTTGGACAGTGTTCTCGAAGCTACAAACATGAGTTTGACCAAACCATGGGAGGCAGTGGAAGACAGGAGTGCCTGGCGTGCTCTGGTCCAGGGGGTCACGAAGAGGCGGAAATGACTGAACGACTAAACAACAACGTCTAGATTTTTGGTACTTTCTCTCCAGGGAGGCATGGAAGTGGAAGGCGTCGTCCTTCTCCTTTTAGGTTTGGAGGTTTCCCCCACGCCCTTTTCCTGACCCGGGGAAGTCGAAGCTGCCTTATTCAATACTGAGCCAGCCCGTTGATCCACCTACCTCTATATAGCCGGCACTGGTTGGCAGCATCTTTCCTGGGTGTCAGACAGGAGATTTTATCCCACTTCCCCAAACCCCCCTGAAGAGGCCAGGGATTAAACCTGGATCCTTTTGCAGCAGGCCAAGCAAGGTCTTTTGCCATAATCCACATTACACACACCCAACACACCTGTTGCATTTGTGTGTGGTTCATGGCAGAAAATTTGCTTGTCCTACAGAAGGACTCAGGTTTAATCCCTGGCCTCTAGAGGAGGTGTTGGGGTGAGTTGAGCAGAGCTGGATAATTCCTGTTTTGGGTGTGTCCTTAAAAGCCAACCTTTCTTTCCTTTTTAAAATACATTTTTATTAATTTTTTTAACATATCATTTCCAACAGTCATTTAACATACATTATTATACAATATTTTAGACTTCTGTCAACTACCTCTGAAGATTTTCCGTTCTTTATCACTTAATCTGCATTTCTCTATTACTTTTAATTGTCCTTAACTAATAATTCCTCTTCATAGTCTTCCTTGCAATATTTCACCTAATCCTCCATACAAAACTCAACCTTTCTTTCCATAGTTTAAGAAATTTACAGCATGCCTGTCTATGTCAGCACATCTACTTGAGTGTGGCTGACAAACTCCCAGCAATTTAATTATAAAATATATTAAATTGTCAGAAGAGGATAAAACAAAATGATTTCTAGGTTATATTTATGTATGTCATTGATGACTGGCTGTAAACAGCATTGGGGGATATCTGAAGATGTCTGTCCAGCACTTACAGGGTGTTGTCTGAGGAAAAGTTTCAAGACTCATTTAGCCAAAGAATTCTGTGTAACTCTAAAAGATTACTGTGTAACTCTGTGTAATTCTGTGTAACTCTAAAAGAACAGCCATTGGTGCGGTTTTCGTCTCTTCCACAGCTCTCCTAAGTACAATGAATTTTGAGGGGTGCGGCTGTCTTGGCTGCTGGCAGAATTGCCACATGCTTTTAAAATACTAGTATAATTTAGAAAACCTATGCATACTTCTTAATTTAACTTCCCCACTCTTCAGAGAAGTTGGTGGTTATATTATGAAGCAGCTATATTATTAAATGATTATATTATCTTAGCGGTTGTATTATTAAGTTGTTCCCCTAGCGATGGTCGGTGATACACATTTGCATCTTCACTGTAATTACGCAAGCAAGTTTGGGTACCAGTTTTGCAGTTTAGCATCTCAGCTTTTAAAATTTATTTCTTCTACTGATATTGGGGGTGGGGAAGGGACCCCTCCCCCCCACACACATTGGGCTCCGGTCAGTTTGCAGGATCCTATTCTGAACTCTAAGCCACCTGGTTGGTATGATTGCTAATACTAAGTGCTTATATTATTGATTGCCATTGTTGTGGTTTATTCAGTGTATATCCTGCCCTTCCCCTCAAATGGAGTCCAGGGTGGCAAACACATATTTAAAGCACCATCATTAGAAAACTTCTAAGAACAGCTTTAAAACAATCACATTTTCTTTTTTTAAAAAAAGATATTTATTAAAGTTTCAACATTTTACAAAAATAAGGAAAAAAGAAAAAAGAAAATACAAAGTAAAAACAGTTAAAAACAGATCAGTTTTTCCAAATCTTATCTTTCATTTGCTTGTTTCCCTGACCTCCTCACACCTCCCTTTTTTGTATTCCAGTGCAATTGGTTAGTTCAGCAAGTCCTTTCCCTCTTTGATTTTATCTTAATCTTTTATCTTAATATATTATAGCTTTATATTATCACCTGTTAACAAACCATTTTATATATTCCTTTATAACATTGCTACTAAAAACCGCTTAACTTCAATCCAACATCATTCTAACATTCATTAATTTTGCAGTGTTTCTGTAGATAGTCTTTAAATTTCTTCCAATCTTCTTCCACCGACTCTTCTCCCTGGTCTCGGATTCTGCCAGAAAACAATCCCATTTTCCCAGCTGACAGTTTCAGGGTTGCTAGGAACAGTATCCTTCGGCCACCAATGAGAGACGGATGCACCTTGCCAGGGAAGGCAGTCCACAAATGGGGAGCCACCACCGAAAAGGCCCTGTCACCCAATCCCCAAGGCCTCACCTGCCAATGATAATCATACTAATAATACTAATAATAATTTATTATTTATAACCCGCCCATCTGGCTGAGTTTCCCCAGCCACTCTGGGCAGCTTCCAACAAAATATTAAAAATACAATTAAACATAGGATCCAAGATCGTTGTTATTGAGAGGGAGGTATTTTATGTAGGTATTTGGGTCCTGAGTCATTTAGAGCTTTGTATGCTAGTCCTAACGCTGTGAATCTCCCTGGTAGCTCACTGTTTACAGTGTACAAAGTGCTTTACACAGAAAGATTGTTACAAGAACCCTGTAAGGTGGGATCATAGAATTATCTCCATTCTGTGGATTTGGGGTGGTGAAATGTGAGGTTGTGGGGCACTGACTTGCTGAAGGCCACCTTCTCATTTTACAGCTGAAGCCAAAAGGAGATGCAGAGGGGAACCTCGGTTACCTTCCAAGCTAGCCTCCACAGCATGGAGCTCCACAGGTGCTTGGGACTACAACTCCCATAATCCCCAGCGTGCTTGGGACTACAACTCCCATAATCCCCTGCCTTGGCTGTTCCAACTGGGGCTGATGGGAATTGCAGTCCTGAACATCTTGTGGGGCACCAGGTTGGGGAAGGCTGCTCCCATCCCGCAATCCTGGAAATGGACAAGGGGTGAGCTCAGCAGCACAGAATCATAGACTTGCAGAGTCGTAAGGGACCCCAAAGGTCCTCTAGTCCAACCCCTTGCAATGCAGGAATGCCGTGGGCCACTGTGCCACTCTCATGCCACGTGACCCCGTCTTCCTCCTTCTAAGCCAGGGGCTCTTTCTCTCTCCTCTCTCCTCAACCAGTTCCCTACAAGTTCTTCTCGGACCCTTCCACCATCAACGAGAAGCGGAAGCAGCGCAGGATTCGCACCACGTTCACCAGCTCGCAGCTGAAGGAGCTGGAGAGAGTCTTCGCGGAGACCCACTACCCTGACATCTACACCAGGGAAGAGCTGGCCCTCAAAATAGACCTCACAGAAGCCAGGGTGCAGGTGAGAGGTGCTGATCCCTTTAAAAAAAGGGGGGGAATAATCATTTTCCTGGAGATGGGGGCGGGGGGAAAGGGGCTGATCCACTGAAAGCCCCAATTGCTCTGAGCAATTTATTTATTGCATTTAAATTAAATAATCTTAGAACTGTAGAGTTGGGAGGGACCCTGGGGGTCATCTAGTCCAACCCCTAGCAGTGCAGGAATCTTTTGGCCAATATGGGGCTCAAACCCACGTCCCTGAGATTAGGAGTCTTGTGCTCTACTGACTGAGCTATCCAGGTCTTCTTTATTGTGTTTATACCCCAACTTTCCTCCAAGGCGCTCAAAAGTGGGGGCATAATCCCCCCCCCATTTTATCCTCACAACAACCTTGTGAGGTTGGTTAGGCTGAGAGGTCTCAGGTCACCGCCTGAGTTTCATGGCCCAGTGGGAAATTGAATGCTGGTCTCCCAGGTCCTAACCTCTATCAGGGCCAGATTTAGGTTTGATGAGGCCCTAAGCCAGGGGTCAGCAATTTTTTTCGGCAGGGGGCCGGTCCACTGTCCCTCACACCTTGTAGGGGGCCGGACTATATTTTGAAAAAAAATATATGAATGAATTCCTATGCCTCACAAATAACCCAGAGATGCATTTTAAATAAAAGCACACATTCTACTCATGTAAAAACACACTGATTCCCAGTCCTTTGTCAACAACAAATTGTCGCTCTTTTTTCTGTTGAATACATGCTATATGGTAATTTATGGACCTAATAAAGTATCTCAAGCCATTTGCACAGGTTGTCATGCAGCCAGTCCATTCAGAATGTAGGCACCCTATATATAGGAAGGAGCAAACCAGTAATATTTGAGGGAGCAGGCTAGCAGGCGGGACCCATGACTTACATCACAGGAGCCTACACAACACAAAACACTGTCGCTGTATGTAGGTTTTATTTTATTTGTTCTTTTATCTTACATTTTGGAAATGTACATCCAGGTTTTTTTCCTTTAAAAATTTTTTTGGGGGCCCCAAGAGAGTGGGGCCCTAAGCTATAGCTTGTTTAGCTTATACGTAAATCTGGCACTGACCACTATGTCACGCTGCCTCTCATTTCCCTGTGGGTCACTGCAGAGAAAGCCTACCTTGCTCAATATTGTCTCCCCCCTGTGGTCCCCAAACCTTTTTGAACCCCTGCCTCCTTGGTTCCATAAACTCGTCCCCAGTGCCCACTATTCTACCCTATTTTTTAAGAAAGCATGATTCAGAATAGCAGTTTCCACTAGGGAAAGTAAGAACACACTAAAATTCAAAGCACATTTATGCAAAATCCAGTTTGTCAAAGTTGGATAGCCATTTACACACCCAGTGCCCCCCTGCTGCCCCCTTGCCTCTTAGCATTCCTCTGGGTACCCCCCACACTTTGGGGGCCACTCAGAGGCTCTGCCAGCCCTTCCAATCCTGCAGGCGATCGGACTTGGCACCTTCTGCATGCAAAGCTGCAGCCCTGCCCCTAAAAATAAATTTCAGTATTCTAGTCCTCATGGTGCGGGGGGGGGGGAGAGCTGAATTAAACAGGAAGCTGCCTTATACTGAGTCAGACAATTGGTCCATCTAGTTTAGTATTGCCCACACTGACTGGCAGCAGTCATTTAGCACCTTTAGGCGCCAGGAGAAAACCCATTCCACCAGGCCTTGGGCTGATTAACGCCTTGTATTCCTTTTTAAGGATGTGGATGGTGCTGTGGGATAAACCACAGAGCCTAGGACTTGCCGATCAGAAGGTCGGCAGTTCGAATCCGTGCGATGGGGTGAGCTCCCGTCGCTCGGTCCCTGCTGCAGCCAGCCTAGCAGTTCAAAAGCATGTCAAAAGTGCAAGTAGATAAATAGGTAGCACTCCAGCGGGAAGGTAAACGGCATTTCCGTGTGCTGCTCTGGCTTAGTCATGCTGGCCACATAACCCGGAAGCTGCCCGCCGGCTCCCTCGGCCAATAAAGCGAGATGAGCGCCACAAGCCCAGAGTCATCCACGACTGGACCTAACGGTCAGGGGTCCCTTTACCTTTACCTTTATTCCATTTTTAAATGTGTTTGTGGGAGAGTATGCGTAGAAGGCGTGGCTGTTGGTTTTAGTTTCTGTTCTTGTTTCCGTTATGTATTTTCACAGAATCATAGAACGTTTGCATTGTAGAGTTGGAGGAGACCCTGAGGGTCATCTAGTCCAACCCCCTGCAATGCAGGAATCTCATTTAAAAAGGCCTTCTTCTCACCAGGGTGGTCACCTATGCACAGCTCCCAAAAGTGGACCCAGATCTGCATTAAATGTGCCTGTGGCGATTTATATGCAATGATGCAAAATCTGGAACAATTATGAGAACTACTGATCGAAAAAGCTTTAGTATTTTTATGTTGTGAACTGCCCTGAGATCTACAGATGAAGGGCAATATAAATAATAATAATAATAATAATAATAATAATAATAATAATACCTCGGTACCTCGGGTTAAGAACTTAATTCGTTCTGGAAGTCTGTTCTTAACCTGAAACTGTTCATAACCTGAAGCACCACTTTAGCTAATGGGGCCTCCCGCTGCTGCTGCGCCGTTGGAGCACGATTTCTGTTCTCATCCTGAAGCAAAGTTCTTAACCTGAGGTAATATTTCTGGGTTAGTGGAGTCTGTAACCTGAAGCGTCTGTAACCCGAGGTACCACTGTAATAATAATAATAATAATAATAATAATAAAAAAACAACTAATTTCAGGCGGGCAGTCTTTCCTAGCCCTAACGCGAGTTAAAATTAGGGATCAAACCTGGGACGTTCTGCATGCCAAGCAGCTGTTCTGCCACTGAGCTGCAGTCCTGTCTTCCCCTCTCTCCCCAACCGCAATGCCTGTTTGTTGTTCACCTGCCCTCCCCTCCTCCTCCTCCGACCCAGGTCTGGTTCCAGAACCGCCGTGCCAAATTTCGCAAGCAGGAGCGGGCGGCCAACGCCAAGGGCCAGAATGGCAGCAACAGCGGCCCCTCGGCCAGCAAGAAGCCTGACCCCCGCTCCTCTTCGGAGGACGACGAGTCCAAGGAGTCCAACTGCAGCCCCACCCCGGACAGCACCGCCTCCCTGCCCATCGCGGGCAGCCTGAACAGTCCCGGCAGCAGCCTGAGCCCCAGCCCGGGCACGGGGCAGCAAGGGCTGGGGCCTGGCCACGCCACCCAAGCCCTCAAGGCGCCCCTGTGGGCTGGGGTGAGCACCAGCAACGGGCCCACCAACACGGCCGACCTCCTGAAGGCCTGGCAGCCGGCCGAAACCATGTCAGGCCCCTTCTCTGGGGTCCTCTCCTCCTTCCACCGGAAGCCCAACCCCCTTAAGGCCAATCTCTTCTAACCGCCTCGGACTGAGCGCCACCAGCCTCCTCTGCTGGGTGCCCCACAGAATAGCTTCCCTTCCACCCTCCTCCGCTCCTCCTGTAGCTGCTAGTTTTCGTCCTGCGGGGCGGGGCCCGGCTCAACCTTAAGGGAACAACAGCCATCATCTCGCCGTGTCCGGGCAACCACGAATTCATCTCACTGGGCTGGATGGAGTCCTCTTCTCCCAGGCTGCGAATGGCAGGTCTCGCCAGTCACCCGGCCTGCTCAAGGCATCGCCCGTTTCCCAACTCTGTCTGGAAAAACAAAGTCTTGCTTGCATCAGGGAACATCTGCGCAGCCACTCCAGATGTTGCTGTACTACAAATCCCATCATCCTAGCTGCTGGGAGTTGCAGTCCAGCAAGCATCGGTCTGAAGGGACACAGCTGCTCCCAGCCCTGGTCTCCAACCTTGGCTGGTTTCTGTGCGAGAGATTTTGTCCTCAAGAGAGGAGGATTTGTTTCCTTTTCCTGATGTCAAGTGATTCTGAGCGAGGAGTCCCTCCTGACCCCAGCTTCTTTCACGAAGGGTCTCGCCAGCCAGCAGCCACTGATGACGATGTGGAATCTAAGAGCATAAGGGCTTTGTTACAGTGGTTTTGCCCGTGCTACACCGTCTCCGCAGAAAATCAAGTTTGGCCAAGTGGAAATCAGTGAGCAAAGGAGGGAATAAGCAGAAAGGAACCCCATTTATGTCATTTCCAGAGGGGGGGATCAGGTAAGCAGCAAGTGATGGGGGAGGCGAGCTCTGCTTCCTTTTCATGAAGACACCAGGAATTTTGGGCTGGAGTCGAGAGACTGAGTAGAAATGTGGGGAACACTGGACCACCCCACACAAGCTGGAGGGCTGATCTCCCCCCTGCCCTGCAGAATTTCCAGGCGTCTTTATTTACCTCTTTCTGAGACTTCGGAGCTTCCTTTTGGCTTTTGGATACTCGGCTGCCTTTGCAGCTCAGGTAGGAACTCCTCGCTGCAGGAAGATGGAGATGGAATTTGTAAATTGTTTGCACCCCCCGGTACTTTTCGGACCTGACCTTTCTCCCAAACGGGAGGCCAGTTTTGCGAGCCATCCGGTCACCCCCCCAGCCTGCTGCCTCTGGAATAAGGGACGGCACTTTGGTTGAGCAGCCCAACTGGAGAGAGAAAGAGAAATCTGGGGATATTTGGCAGACCAGGGTTGCAGGCTGGCCGTATGGTCTCCTTGATGGCCAGACTCCCCCAAACCATTCCCTATTGCAAGGTGGGGGACAGACCTGACGCTGTCTGGTGAAAAGGGGGCAAGTCTCTTTGGGGCAACGTGTATCCCTTTCCTGACGCCGCTTCCTTTGCTTGCTTGCTATTGGTGAGAATTAGTGGATCTCCGTCAGATCCCGAAGGAAGACGGATGAGCTCTTTATGCTGGAATTTCCAGTGTCCCTCCGCAATCTTCAACCCACGCAAACCATGCTCAGAGGGGCCTAGGCAGAAGCAGTCGCCCAGCGCTCGTAGAACCTCTTTGCCCAGGGACCTTTGGGCCTGACAATTCGCCTTGCTTTAGCCATAAGGATCGAGGGAGGTTGCCCAGGGCAGGTGGTGAGATGCCAGTCTGTTCGCGTTGGCAAATCCACCCACAGAAAGTGTATTCCACGGACTATGTAGATAAGACTGTGCCTCCGGGCTTCTAAGAGACACCTGTCCATATGCACACAGCCTCTCAAGTAGCTTTCGATGTCGAGAAGGTCTTTTGTCCTCCTGATCTCACCCTGCATTCCCTGGCTGTGTGCAGATTGTCGTTTTCAAAAAGAGCAAAACAAGCAAGATCAACGCCATGGGCGCCTTCCTCGTCCTTCCGGCCCCATTTAAATGGCAGTGACCCAGCCCCACCTGCTTCCCCACATCTCGCAAGTGGAATTGACTAGTCCGCAAGCAGCTTCCGGACCAGTCAATTTCCCTCTGGAGAAAGGAATCTTGGGGGGGGGTTGGTTGGCAGGAACTGGATTGATGAGGCAGATACAGTGCAGCATTGGTTTAGGTTATCCCCACCCGCTATTGCAAAGGGCTGCTTGCGCAGACGAGTAAATCAGCAGTCGGATGAAGTTGCCTTAAATCAATCTTCCCCCAACCTGGTGCCACTTCCTGGAGTTTGGGACTACAACTCCCATCAGCCCGACTTTTACAGCCGTGCTCACTGGGACTGATGGGAACTGTAGTCCAAAACACCCCCAGGTTGGGCGAGGCTGCCTTATATCAAGCCAGACCATGAATGCTTCTCGGCCTTTTGGCTAAGATCAAGTGAATGCTTTGGAGTCTAGTGTCACATGTTGCTAAGATACATGGAGACACCTTTCCTGGTTCTGCCGCTTTTGGGAAAACCCGTATCACTGGAGCAGGGGATGAGGAACATGTGGTCCTCTGGATGTGGGTGGGCTGTTGCTATCAAGACTGGTTCACCTTTAAGGAAACCAGGTGCTGATAAGACTATGGGCCCAGACATGGGGTGTTTGAGCTCCACGGCACTGAGTGGGCCCCACATCACACAACTCAGATTTAGGGGGTTTCCAGCCTTGCAGGCTTTCCAGCTTTTCCAGCTGCTAATGGCCCCATCCTGCGGTGGTCCAGTGTGCAGGGTGAAATGGAGGAGGCTCTGTGGCCATTGTGCCGGTTCACAGGTGGCACAACTCACAGGGATGCTGCTACGTGAAAAGACAAGGCAAGTGTGCAAGAATGCAGCAGTGCTATTGCACAACTCCTGTCCCAAGTCAGTGGGCCAGGAAAACTTCCTCACGGGTCGTGCCCAGGATGCCGCCACAACTGAGGAAGGTGGAAAGGTGGTGTTTGCTCAAGCCCCGAGGTGGGCTGGAGAACGAGTCTCTTTTATGTCATAGAACAATTCCAGGTTTTCATTGTTAGAGGAAGTATTTTCATGAAATGGTGGCTTGCGACACGTGTCTCAGAATCTCCAGAGTGTATTTTGCAGCGAGGGGAGAAGTGTGGGGGCGAGTAGTTCTGTTGCACCCCTGTCCTGACCCACACCCCTTCCCATCAACAGATATTTCGGCTTTATATCCTGCAGACCCTTTCAGCATTTGGGGACCTGCAACCTCTAGCCAATTACTTCTTAATGCAGCGCATAGCTGAACTGTGGAACTCCTTGCCTCAGGAGGCAGCGATGGCCACCAACCTGGATGGCTTTGATAAGAGGAAGAGGCAAATTCATGGAGGAGACGGCTATCGATGGCTATTTGCCAGGAGGGCTCTGTTTTGTCTCCAGAATCGGAGGCAGAAATGCTTCTCAACGCCGGTTGCTGGAAACCACAAGAGGCGAGAGTTGCTCTTGTGTTCAGACCCTGCTTGCCAGGTTCCCACGGGCATCTAGTAAGCCCCTGTGAGAACAGGATGCTGGAATAGATGGGCCATTGTCGGCCTGATCCACCAGGCTCTTTTTACGTCATTGGGGACAAATTTAAGCAAGCTGTGCAACAGGTGGGCTTCTGTTCCATTATTTAGGTGTCTAGGCCTTCTTGGGGTCCCCCTGAGGTCTTCTTCATTGTGGGAGAGCAACAGTTGGGGGGGCAGCAGCATGGAACTGCCACCACATGCCATGGCCCAGTGAAGTCCTTACAGGAAACCTGGACTCACAGCCTCGCCCAGGACTCCTGGCACCACGTGGCCTCAGTAACGCCAGGGCTGGGGGAGCTGCGGCCCACCCATAGCTGGAGACGGAAAGGTGGCAATCGCAGCTGTGTGGCACCATTGTAGGAAATGATGGAATTTTAGGACGCCCTGAGCCATGGGAAAAACAGGTTCCAAACCTTCCAAAGGAAAGATAAAACGTAGGTTCAGCTTGCGGCGCTCATCGGGGTCTTGCAGAGAGGGGCAACAGGTTCAGGCCCAAAAGGAGGGCGATATGGGGAGCATCAGGATGACAACGTACGGAAATGTGGGGCTTTAGGAGCCGGCAAGTGAGCAGCACCTCCAGCTCAAGAGTGGGTGCCTTTTGGGCCCAGACCTTAGCATCCTAAGGGAACATGGGGCACCCCCGACTCCACAAAGGGGCAGCTTCCAAGCCCCTAGGGCTCCGCTCTGTGGCTGCTTGTCAGATGATGGTTCTCCAGGCTTCATTTTGCTTGTTTGTTTTCCCCCATTTATTATTTTTTAAAACCAACAACTGTTCTGTAATTTATTGAACTCATTTGCAAAATATGCTAATCTAAATAAACTTAATTTATTGAAGAACTCCCACGAGTGCGAGCGCTCCTTTTGAGAGAAGGAATTCGGGGGGGGGGGATATTTGGCGAGACCGAAGGCAGCCTAAGCCCCAGCCCTGAGAGCAGGAAGAGGGGACTTCGGAACACTCTGGCCGGCAGGGAAGCAGCCGCAGCATCCCTCTGCCCATTCTCCTAATCCAAACGCCAATTAAAATGGTGTATGCAAAACTGCAACACTTTCTGCTGGGGCGCCTCCAAGCCCCTTAGGATTGGGTCCCTGGCGTGGTCTGAAGTCGCAGAGAGCCAGCGCCTTGGCTGGAGCAAAGAAGGTCTGAGAATCAGATGCTCAACACGTTGGGCCCCATGGCAGAGATAAATACAGTGGTACCTCGGGTTAAGTACTTAATTCGTTCCGGAGGTCCGTTCTTAACCTGAAACTGTTCTTAACCTGAAGCACCCCTTTAGCTAATGGGGCCTCCTGCTGCCGCCGTGCCGCCGGAGCACAATTTCCGTTCTCATCCTGAAGCAAAGTTCTTAACCCGAGGTACTATTTCTGGGTTGGCGGAGTCTGTAACCTGAAGTGTATGTAACCTGAAGCATATGTAACCCGAGGTACCACTGTATGAGAAAATACAGTACAATGGCACCTGACATGGGGGTTCAGTTCCAAGGGTTTGTGTGTACAGTGGTACCTCAGGTTAAGTAGTTAATTCGTTCTAGAGGTCCGTTCTTAACCTGAAACTGTTCTTAACCTGAAGCACCACTTTAGCTAATGGGGCCTCCCTGTTGTCAGTGCGCGATTTCTGTTCTCATCCTGAAGCAAAGTTCTTAACCTGAACACTATTTCTGGGTTAGCGGAGTCTGTAACCTGAAGCGTCTGTAACCTGAGGTACCACTGTACATGAAAATGGCATACAGTCAAACATTTGACCCTACCCCACAGCTAGCAAGGGGGTGGGGAAGAGTGTCTTCCCAGAGTCTGTGTACTGAGCGGGCTTTGCCCATTGAGAAAGGCAGAGAGCTTAAAAGCTCTTTCCACATTGGGGAACCCCAGGCAAACCCAGGGCAAAAAGTGTTTTTAAGTTCTCCTTCTTGCTTGGATTTAACTTGCACAATTCCAACCAGCTGGCCTCCAACTGCGCACGCCTGGAACTGCGCAACTTTAAGCGCGCCTGAGAAGCGATTCATCCTGCCAATAAAAACGAGAGGAGGAAAAGAAGACAGCGAGACGCACTTCTTTAAGCAAACAAGCCCTTTTATTGCGTCAGGATGGAGGCGGTGGCAAACTAAGGACATGAAATGCAAACACGGGGGTTTGGTTTTTTGGGGGGACGAGGGCAAATCATCGCGATTCCTGGTTCAGCCCACGAAACAGTAAGCGTATACAAAGTGTCCCAAATGACAATTAAATTAAAACATTAAAACAACAACTTCTATAAAATACGGCACGGTAGAATTTAGTAGGGTTAGAACTCACACCAAACGCTAATAATGAAAATAAGGATAACTGAACCCAAACCCGGGAGCAAATTTCGCAGGAGGAACAAAACACAGAGAGAGAGAGATCCTTCATTTTAATTTCAGAGAGCTGCTCCTTTGCCGAGGTGTGAAAATGTCCCAGACGGTCTCTGGCAAAGCGAACGGTTTCCTTGAAACCTCCTGCACGTAGGAGAGCTCCCTCACCAGCAATATTATAAAGTAAGGCACTGGGGTATTAGAGCAATAACCAAGGGGAAAAGTTGAGGCTGCAACCCGGAACTTGCTTCCTGACTTCTGCAAGTCTGTCTTATTGTCAAGATCCAGGTCCCCGCCCTGGATCTTGGGAACGGTCTCCCTGCAGGCACCGAGGTTTGCATCCGTACGGGAGAAAGGCATCGCGTGAGCCGCCTTCCTCGGATCAAGGAGAAAGAGTAAGCAAAACAAGGAAACTTCGTGGGAAGAGCTGACTCTGGTAAAAGGTGCTGGGCTCAAGGGGAAAAGTGAGGAGGACAACATCTCACTTGTGCACCCCGGGTCACGCGTGTGTCTTCAAGGCCTGCAAAGGAAGGACCCCGTGGAAGAAAGGCGGCAGCGGCTGCTGAGGTAGACTCCAGCCCCAACCAATACACGCAGGGGCAGAGTCAGGAACCCTCGCTTGTTGACCTGATCAAGACACAAACCGTGTGGCAGGGAGAAGCATGGGAGCCACTCTACAGAGCAGTGTTTCTCAGACTTGGGTCCCCAGCTGTGGCTGGACCATAGCTGTCAACTTTTCCCTTTTTTTAAAGAGAAATTCCCTTATTCCGAATAGGATTCATCGCAAGAAAAGGGAAAAGTTGACAGCTATGGGCTGGACTACAACTCCCATCATCCCTGTCTACTGGTCCTGCTAGCTAGGGACGATGGGAGTTGTAGTCTAAGGCCAGCTGGGTACCCAAGTTTGAGAAAAACTGCTCCAGAGCGACTGATCTTGCACCTCTCTCTCTAGCAGCAGAGGTGAGCCGTTCTGCATTTGTCCCGCCTTGCGGAGACATCCCATGTGCCTCCATTGGCTGGCTCCACTTGATTGGCTGCTGTGGGGCACTGCTTGCTTACCTGGCCCCTGTGTTTGAATGAGCTTCGCAATTTCTGCAAAGCACCCCTGCAGCATTTGCCCGGCAGACTTTCTTGCCGGGGCAAATCGAGGCTTTCATTTCACCCAGGTCAAAGACTCAAGTTTGGCACACATTTGCATGCGCACACAGGCTGGGGCCTCAACGCCGACCCTCTGGAGGCTTCATCTGGGGCAAAAAAACCTGGCTAGTCGCCCCCACCCCCCACGCTACAGCTCTGGCCTTGCTCAGACGTTTGGGGCTACCTGAGGTTATTTTGCAGGTTGTCGTTCACAGGGCTGTTCAGACACTGTGCGAAGAGCTGCAGGTGGGGTCTGTTTAAGGCTGAACGCTTAGAAAAGCAAGAGGCACGTGAGCAAACACCTTGGGCTGCCCGGTGAGCCCCTGAAG